AATCCTGTAAGGAGAATCTCTTTGCAAGCATAACTAGCACGCGAACAACTACCCGGCTAAGAATGTTCCATGCTCCCCAATAAGATACTTTGTACGGCGTTTCCGTCACAGACAAGCTGTTGATCCTCTCCAGTGACTGAGCCAGCAACTACGCCACCGAGTTTTATCTTGAGCTCGCCTCATCCGCAACACTTCATATAATCGAGTTAGCGTATCGGACCAGCGCGTATCGGTGGCCTTCCTGCTGGCCTTTTTACATGTCGTGGATGCCAATCGATAACGTGTTTCGTCCATCTGTTGTCAGTCATCCTTGCTACGTGACAAACTCAACTTTTTTTCTTTGCACAAAATAACCCCAACAAAAAGTCGTGTAAATTGTTATTTATGTTCTGAGTAGCTGCTATGCTATCAGTTTTCTTATTGCCCGTCGATAAGACTGCCGCAGTTTCTCATTCCCTCAGCGCAGTAACTGTTTAAATGGATCCTACTACTTCAAAGGCTGCTAAATACCGAAAATTATTTTCTCGGGTGCAAAAATTCCTTTCATCTTTAAATTAAACAGAAAAGACAGGAGAAATAAAGGCTTTATCATTTGGCGAAGTACTTCTTTTGCTATTTCGTGTTTCTTCTTTTTTGGCTTAACTATATCTTAAAGAGCATACCGAAAAAGTACTGGTGGAATTGTTTATGTTTTCTTAGGAAAAAAAAACAAATTTTTTAGAAACGGGGAAATTGCCATAGATTTTTTACAAAAATTTTAGCTGGGACTATTTATGGCGTCAGTTGTGATCGATTATCTGGTTATGGAACCAGCAGTGGTTGATGCTGTTATTACAAAACTTGCACTGGACAGAAAGTATGAAATGCTTGTTGATCTGCTGAAGTATTGTGCAATGCATACGAATTTGTCATTTATCAGAGGAATCGAACTAAAATGGTCCCATGCTGCACGATGGCTTTTTTCTTTAATTGGTACGCAAATCGCTTTTTTTCTGATTTTTTCCCCCTCACAGCTGATCAACGTTGATGCCTGTGATATGCGTGAGCCAGAATTTTCATATTTGATGGTTTATGCCGAGGAATTCGAAATGCGCCGCCAATGAAAGCACTGCCATAGAAATCGTTGATTTTTTACAGTGACACATTTTTTTTTCGAGTTTTTGGAAATATTTACCTTGCTTTACAGGTAAATTTCAAATGAGGTAGACTGTCGAAAACCTTGACACGGAAAGTGATGTTAGGTAAAAAGCTAAGAATAGTTATGTTAGGTATATCAACTCCTCTTAATTTTAACTACCTTAATTAATTTCGTTATCACAGTCGTCGTACTGATGAGATCCAGTTGTGGTAACGGTAAGAAATGTATACGACTTAATGGACCGAAGCATTTCTTACCAATTTTTTGGGAGATTTTTTATAAAAGTAATTTTTAAAAGATTTTAAAATTGTAATTCTTTTCTATTTTTTCTTTTTACTTTTTTTTCCTTCTTTTTCTTCCTTCCTTTACATTGCTTTTTCTTTAACTATTACTAACTTTCAAATAAAGCAAAGAAATTGAACTTTTCATCTTTTCGTAGCGCGTAAAATGTGGGGATGGCGTCCCAGCAACATCACTAACATCGAGTACGCGCACTTACTGCCCAGACGCTCTTGTTATTCTTGACTCTTATTACATCTAAACTCTTTGTTAGTGAAAGGAATTTTTATTTTGTGGATTCGCTTTTGCAGCAGTGACTTTCACAAAAGTAGGATAGTTCAGAGTTAGCGCCAGGCTACGGGCTAACAAGATCCCTAGTTATCCCTAGTATGCCAATAGTAGAATAGAGGGACTGGACTTAAGTGTCATGTGTAAGAAGACATTTTACGATGCTGTCTGTGTTTCATCCCTTAGCTGTAAACAGAAACCGAACTGTCCAAGTCATGCGACTTATGTAGCTGACAAAGATTCTATTTTGTTCAGACTGAGTTTGCCATACACTATTGACTTGACTGAACCTTCTAGGTTTATTGGTGACCATAATTGCGACCCTCTTTCACCACATTTTACTATTCAAGAGTAATAGGTTTTGTTCATTTGTGTTATCTCTGTCATTGTCACAAGTATGACTACTTGCAGAATCCTCAAAAAAAGTTTTTGTTTCTTCATTGATGGTTCATTTAACACCGCTTTTTTTTTCCAGAGAGTGGAACTGCGGATGAGAAGCAGCAGTTTTGTCGCTTTCTTCTTTTTTGTTTATGGTTGGTTCATTCACCGATATTGCTTTCGCTATGCAAGCAGATTTTTTTCGTAGGAAACAAATTTGTTGCTATTTCTAGTTGTCCGAAAGAGTATGGTCGTTCACTGGGAGAAATCGTTCATTCGCTGGATCAGAAGAAATTCCCGGTTGTTCATCGTTTATTGTTGCTGGCCTCGTGCGCTGTAATTGTAAGTTCCATCAAACTTTTTATTTTCATCATATTATAACTCAACATTTAATGGACCGAAACATTCCTATTCAGATTTTAATCTTATTTTATTCACATTTTCCTTTTTTATTTCCT